AAAAAAAAAAAAAAAAAAAAAAAACCCAAAAACCATAGCCCTAAGCCTAATTTAAATCCGAAATTCCTAAAATACGCCTAAGAACTATGTTACCAGGCTGGACGTACGGGACCCCCCTGACCGTCCGGGGTTGTCTGATCGGATAACTGGTCGCGTCTTCCCCGGGCAGTCTGTCTGAAGCCCGAATGGCCAAAAAAAAAAAACACAAAAAAAAAACTCAAAGCAATCTGTAAAAGAACTATGTTATGCAGAAAAATAAACTGAACAACTTTTGCCTTGGGGTTACATCGAAATTCTTTATCAATTTAAAATAAAAATAAAGTTGAAAACAACCCCAATTGTCAGTCAGTCAGTCTGTCACTCGGTCAACCATTCTTTCAATCTGTCAGTCAATGAATTACAATTATGTGTGTGTGTGTGTGTGTGTGTGTGTGTGTGTGTCTGTGTGTGTGTCTGTGTGTGTTTGTGTGTGCAGACAGTGCATCTGTGTGTCTGTGTACATAGTGCGTGTGTGTGTGTGCGTGCATGTCACTCTGTGTTTGTGTGTGGATAGAATGTGTGTGTGTGTGTGTGTGTGTGTGTGTGTGTGTGTGTGTGTGTGTGTGTGTGTGCGTCGGTGTCTTTGGGTGTCTGTGTGTTTGTGTGTGCAGACAGTGCATCTGTGTGTGTGTGTGCATAGTGCGTGTGTTTGTGCATAGTGCGTGTGTGTGTGCAGACAGTGTGTGTGTATGTGCGAGTAGATAGTGTGGGTGTGTGCTCAGGTGCATGTCACTCTGTGTTTGTGTGTGGATAGAATGTATGTGTGTGTGTGTGTGTGTGTGTGTGTGTGTGTGTGTGTGTGTGTGTGTGTGTGTGTGTGTGTGCGTGGGTGTCTTTGGGTGTCTGTGTGTTTGTGTGTGCAGACAGTGCATCTGTGTGTGTGTGTGCATAGTGCGTGTGTGTGTGCAGACAGTGTGTGTGTATGTGCGAGTAGATAGTGTGGGTGTGTGCTCAGGTGCGTGTCACTCTGTGTTTGTGTGTGGATAGAATGTATGTATGTGTGTGTGTGTGTGTGTGTGTGTGTGCACTGCCACTGCATCTGCCGCATCTGCCGCAGCGGATGGTCCACACGTTGCGTCAGACGATGCAGCTGCAGTCGCTGCATGTGCAGCAGCGGGCCCTCCATTTGAACTCCCCATGCAATCCACCCCCACTCGACCCCACCGTCACACCTCGCACACTGTTTCTGATTTTTTTTTTTCATTTTTGCTCAGAACAGCCTGGATTTTTTTGGGGGGGTCCCCTAATGGTGCGCAGACCACTCCCACTTTATTTTTTTTGTTTTTTTTTTTGGGCAAAAAAGCCGCAGTCCAAAATCCCGGACAACTACCCCCTGACCGTTTCCCGGAGACGTCCGGGGGAGACGTCTCCCCATCAGACAGCTGGCAGCCTAGCCTAAGAAGCTATTTATGTAAACTTCTCCTATATTATGATTGCCATGTATATGAGTAGTCTTGTGGAGCTACCCACACATTCTCCATTTCCTTTTTCTTTCAGCTGTCGGCGAGTCAAACTGTTGCACATTCTTTTGATGAGCAGTGTGCCCACGTCCCTCACGAGTTTCAGCGATGAAAAAAAATCATGAGGTGTCAGGTGCTCGTCAGAAGGAGGAGGCAATTCTGGTTTGCAAGGAGGCTGCTGCGCCTGCAGCACCTCGATTTTCCTTGCAAGGACCCCCAAACAGCCAGCCAACTCCGCGAACCCTTGCTGTGTGCCCAAGGCTGTAGATTGTCTTTTGTGACTTTCTGCAATTGATTTTATCATTTTTGAAGTTTTTTCTTCCCGGATCTCTGCAATTGACCAAGGCTCCTTGGTTCCCCCCCCCCCGCCTTTTTCCGAGTTTTCGGGCCTAGTTGCACTACTCGCCATCCGCCACGGATGTGTGGAGAGTGAAAAAAACTAGTGGAGAGTAAAAAAAACTAGAATCGTGTGGAACTGGAGGCCTGCTTGCACTCACTCGCCACTGTATTTCTTCGACAGAAAAGTTCCACCCGCCACGGATGTGTGGAGAGTAAAAAAAAGTAGAAGCGTGTGGAACTGGAGGCCTGCTTGCACTTACTCGCCATTGTATTTCTTCTACGGAAAAGTTTTAAAAAGTTGGTCTGCCTGATCTCCACTCGTGAAGCCGTGCACTCGCCAAGAAGTTGTTTTGTGGAGGGCAGAGGTCACCAGTATGACCCTCCACAAAATAGCAGTAGACAGTCGGGAACTGGCTGCACTCTGTGGCGGATTGAAAAAGGAAACTCGGCAAAAGTTCTGACAGGTTTCCTCGCGCCAAGTTCGGCGAGTGAGTGCAACCAGAGTAGTAGTGCGACCACGCCTCCTTGTGGGGATGCAGCAGCAGAAAACGGACTTTGCACCTCGGGGGATCACTAGTACTTGGCCCAGCTTTCGGCTGCGAGTAAAGAAAAAAGAAAAGAAAAAAAAGGGAAAAAAAAAAAAGTAGAGTACAACCCTTAATTTCTTTGGGATTCATTTTTTTTTTCTTTCGGGTCCTTGAGATGGCCAGTGAGTGCAACCAGATGCAGCAGCAGAAAACGGACTTCGCACCGGGGGATCACCAGTACTTGGCCCAGCTTTCGGCTGCCGAAAAAAAAGAGTAGAGAACAACCCTTAATTTCTTTCGAATTCATTTTTTTGTTTTTTCGGATCCTTGAGACGGAGTACGTCGTGGGACATGACCCCCGGGGTCCCTGAGACCGAGTACGCGGGACATGACCCCGGGTTGGGAAAGCCCCCAAGGAAGTCCCGCGTGAACCCGGGGGAAAAGAGCCTCCTTTCGGGTCAGGGTAGCGGCGTGACAAGGCAAACGCGTGCGTGGAAGTGCGTGGAGGAAGGAAGGTGCGTGGTGAGGAAGGGAAGATGAGGAGGAGAAGGTGGTCTTCAACGGCGCTGACGTGGAAGTCAGTGTATATGTCAGCTATGGCCGTGCATAGCGGAGACGATGGCAGTTATGTTTTTCAAGCTCTTGTCATGGAGAGAAGCGAGTGGCCAATGGCGATTGGATTGCCAACTTCGCGGCGAGGAATCCTTAAGTCGGTACGCTGCCTGTACATAATTATGAATATACTGTCGAGTCGATGTCGTGGGTGACCCTCAGAGCTAACGCGTATGTAAATATAAAATCTAACTATATATATAGAGTCGGTGAAACTCCGACGAAACAGTTTGTCACAGCCCCTCGTTTGTTGTCCTCTTCTCCCTCTCTGCCTACGGTTTACCGGGC